TTCATTTGTTGTGATGTTTACTTCAACTCGCGCCCTGGTGAAGAATGTATTCAATGACAAGAATATACTTGGCCCATTTCAGATGTCCAAAATAATGTGACTTATTTACATACTTATGCCCGAATTGGAGTTCTGATGTGTCATTTGATGGTTTCTTTAAAAGTTAATGTCGTATTGTGATTTTTATATGACTAATTATAATCTAAACTATGCTTTACGTTCCTAATTATAAAGACTAATTAGCTATATCGTCTTTTAATTGCAAAGTGATACAATTATAACTTGATAGTACATCTTAGAAATGTGAAATAATTATAAGTGATTACTAATCCCCATCCCCACATATATTATTACAGAAATCGGTTTTGTACCAAATATAAGCTCCAATCATGCTCAAATACCATGAATGGGGTACCGTTGGATTCAGAATTTCATAGGGGGTTAACGAATCGTATTCTCCACTTTTGTTTTTCTTTCTAAAATAAATAAAGTAGATACAAACATTTTCAAAGGCTTCAATACTGGAACGGTATGTAGATCGATACGGTAATACGGTCTGTAGATCGATACTGGACAAATTGGACCTTGAAGATTTTAATGCGTACAGCAAGATCCTTTGTTTTTAAGCCCAAAAACGTACTAGTTTCCATAAAACGCAAGGCATAGGGTTCGTATCCACACAACCTTATTGTAATTGCAGTTTTGTCAATGAATACATTTTGTCGACTTGAGGCCTCTATGATCGAGAGAGGAGGAATTTATATAATTTATCGATGGTGTTTTTGATCGGCAAGCCATATCATCGTTAATTCTTCACCAAATCTCAAGATTTACCCACTAATTTCGAAGGCTTCCTTCTCCTTCAGGAGGGCAAAATAGTCTAATCACCCCGAAAATTGAGGCAAACAAGTTATGAAAAAAACAATTTTTATTTGCGAATAACTAAAAAATTACACATTTTCCCTAAAAAAGTTAATACTCATGATTAAATAAAATATTACTAAATTCCCTACTAAAGGAAAAAAAAAATCATCGAAATCGGTCAATTTTTAGAAAAGATACAGCTTATTGAAATTCGTAAATATGTTGGTTATAAACATTAATGAAGATTTAAATTAATTTTTGTTTCATTTGTCGATTATATTTATGGATAAAATAACAATTGATTTCTTTAGCTTTTGATACGTTGCATTATTTTATTTTCTTATTAATTTGGCATTTGATAACAATATGCTGTGCGAATTTTTCGTACGGTCCTACTAGTAAATATTAAAACACCAAAGGGGAATTACATGTTTCATGATATGTTAAAATTATCAGTCTGATTTGACTGAATAATCTAAAGATATTGTTGATTAGTTTTTAAATAAATGAGTATATATTCAAATCGTTATATTTTTCATCACCTACGGTAGTTAAAATTTCGACATCAGAGGGCAATGAACGGATCATTTGACATTGTTCATCTATTCGAGTAAATTATAGAAATAGATAAATAAATAAACAAAAAAACCTTAATAAGCATACAATATACACAGTACAAAACTAATGAACTTATATACAAAATACTGAAAAATGAAACCAAATTATCGCTTCTTAGCTAAAAAAAAATAGAATGGATTATATGTCATTTAATTTTTATTTCATAAATTAAATTAATATTGATGTAATGTAATGAAATAATTTATGCCATTCTATTAATAATCAAAAGAACACAAATAAAATATTATTACTTTATTATTAATAGATCGGGATAAATTGCTGGGATTAGGCTTTGATATTTCCACTGTTGCTCAACTGGTAGTGTCACCCATAAGTCATCTAAATAGTTAGTTAATTCCTTAATTTACTTCTATTCTTAATTTACAGCAGTTTAGGCCTTGTCTCCAAAGGCCTTCCCCTTAAGCCCATCCTTTGGATCCATGGCTATATTTGGATGGTGTTACAGGAGTCCCGTTGCGAAATAATCGATGTATTCACCAGGTCAAACTCCAAAGAATCAGTTCTTTAAATATAACGATAAATATTCGTAACTTGTTCGCTTGTGCCTATAATTCGTATAGTATATTAACCTTTTTATCATTAAGGGCCGCGGCAAGGTTAGGCAGTATTAACGACGGTCGCAACAAACTGTTATATTTCACTGTTGCTATTTTTATTTATCACTAACTACGCACTCCTATATACCTACATTCAATTTAATTCTATTAATTTTTTAGACCAAACGTTTGGAGACCAAAAGTAGCTGACATGCTGACTAGATACCACAGGTTCCAAGTCTATGGTATATTAGTGAGAAAAGAAATGGCAATGTAATATGGAAAAAAGTAAACGCAAAGTAATATGAGACGGAGGAATTATTTTTCTTTTTTTCCTTTGCCACGCACAATAGTGATCATTCAATATAATAGATCTTTGCTAAAAAACAAACTAGTTTCAATGGTTTCATTTTGTAGGAAGTTAATAAATCTGTTTAATTAGAATTGGTAATTTATGGTTATGAATCATTAAATATTTATTTTTTGAGTTTTGCATAAGTATAGTTTCCTAGTTTCCTTTTTTTTATACATTTTCCTGAATTTTCGGGAGGTATGGGAGGAGAGAGATGGTGAGGGGGAGGGGAGTGAGTAATGTACTACTTTTTCGCAACTGAAAGGAAAGACATTTTTCAAAATAATGGTTCAGTTATTGAATTTAATAAACGTAAGACACTTAACAAACGACTCAAACTACTTTATTCTTTGTTTTATAAATCTTCAAAACTGAAACTAAAACTGAATACATAATCGTCGCTAAAATTACCAACCTGCGAAAACTTCAAACCTTCCAATCAAAATTCTTGCGACTCATAACAAAAGCACCTTGGTACGTGACTAACAAAACTCTACATACTGACCTCCACTTTCCAACAGTTGACCAACATATGACGACCCTTTATCAACGATTTTACATTAATTTAAACGGACATAATAACAGACTAATAACAGACAAGGCCACAGCTGACATACGCCAAAACATGAGGAGGAGACTAATGTGTCGCCATCACATCTGCTGATTGTCAACAATAAGTTGACAGGCGTAAATATATTTTTTATAAACAAAAAAAAAATTAATAAAAAATTAAGAATTTGTGTTCCTAAATAGTGAAGGATAGCAATAGACTAGTGGCTAGCGTACTATTATCATATTATGAAGATCTTCTTGTGTAATACTGATATTGTCCGCGTTGCCCGGCAACCTGATAACCGAAGTTATAAACGATAAAATAATTGCGAGTTCGCGTCTAAGAGAGTCTTAATAACTTGGCATTAATCCTCCGCCAACACCCCCTGGTCCGAGAAAACCCGTATAGTCTACCAAATTTTCTTAAATAGTGTACCAGAAAAAAAAAAAAATACCCTTGAGAAGTAATATATAATGATATTCTTATTTTATTGCGACTATATAACATATTTGTTAGAAATTTTATATATATATATATATATATATATATATATATATATATATATATATATATATATATATATATATATATATAACAAGCAATATGGAGAAGGAGGCTAGGAAAATGTTCCTAAATAGTGCACCAGCAAAAAAAAAAATACCCTTGAGGAATAATATATGACATTATTATTTTATTGCGACTAAAAAACATATTTATTAGGAATTTTGTATATATATATATATATATATATATATATATATATATAAGTTATGGTTAGATGTAAGTTGATATATTATTTAATCCTATTCAACAGTTGTAAACAAACCGTAATGCTATATATATAGCATTACGGAGAGAATAAAGCCAGTCTTATTTGAGAAATCAATTGTTTTATTTCGGACCTTTTCTTTCTTTTTTTTTACCTTTTCTTGTTCGAACTGACGTAAGTTATATATATATATATATATATATATATATATATATAACAAACAATAAGGAGAAGTATTACGATCGTTCAAAATTTCGAATCCGATTTAAACGGCATCATATATTTTAATGTCTCCTAGGTTCAAATGTCTCCAAAGTTTCGCAACATGTATGTCTGAAATTACCTATCTAAGCCTGGTGTATTCATGAGATATTTTCGTAACTGTCAACGTTTTTATCTACTTACCAGAAGTATAACTTTATATCACCGGCTTTAGATGTTTGCACAATATTCTCGACTTTAATAATTTTGCCAAAAATCCATATGGACCTCTCAATAAATCTCAATTAATAAAAGTATATTCTTATCCTCATTTAAATGCTCTGACACATCTTAAACCTCAAATTTTAAATATTTCTTCCTCTAAAGTAATTTTAATTTTATTATCGGAAATAGTTATTCGCACCTATATTGTAATCATTATTATATTACAGTGAATTATTTGTCAATTGGTCATTATTATATTTTATAAACATTCCTTAATATTTACGCACACACACACACATGGGTACATATGGTTGAAGAAAAGATAAATGCCACCATGATCATTTTTAGTTATCTTCTGCCATTAGTAAAGCTTTAACTTATACATTAATTTCTATTAATAAACGCCTGAAATATTTTTAAATACCCGCTCTATACTTATTTCAGTGACGCGGGTTCGGCATCGATTCTTTTACAGGCGTATTCACCGGTTGATGTGCCCTAGTATTCTAAATGTTATAGATTACATTTCGGTTGTTTGGTTTATTTATTTTTTATAATGTCATTCGTTTAAAAATGCAAGTTTATATGTTAGCTAATAGAAAATATTAGTTTCTATTAGATTTCAGGTAGAGTAATTATATAATTCAATAAATGCTCTATTGGCTCATAATTAAATAAACTTAGTTTATTTAATTGATGAACCATAGTCTTATTATTATTTATTACAAATTATTAAATGGTACATTTTTCCAATGGTCTTCTGAATCATGATCTCTACGAAACGAATTCTTATATTATTCCACTATTGAATGGATTTAGTCCGTATTTGATGATCTGATTTATACTTGTATGTAATTATTACTAATGCCTCGGCATTGATCGGAAAACGAAGGAATAGAATGAGGAAGCAAATTTTGAAAAGTATGACCAGGACGACTCTAACCTTTGTGCCGGACCTTTCACTGGTGACCTCCACAACAGCGTCAGGCACGAAATAGCAGTTGCGAAACCGTTGGCTTCTAGTGCCATCCTAGGACTATACGCATATTATTAGATTCTTTATAAGAAATAGTTTCTGGTTATGTTCTTTTAATTGCTTATTATTTTATTTCTATATTTGATATATAACACTAAAAAAGGCATATTAACGGTAAGTTTACTAGATTCTTATTATAAAGATAAAAAAAATATGATATCTTGGATTGAACTTTGTTACTGATTTACCCACCGTTTTAAATTTCAACATCATTTGATTAGCTATTTAAATTTTTCTATTATAGTGTTAACATTTTTGATAACGTTTAACATCCATTAATATTTTTTTACTTCAGTGGTCGAGTTCCATTCATCCGCTCTAATGCATTTTCAATTTTTTCAACAAATATATAATAGTGTTGTTGTCATTTTTGCTGAAAACACGGAAACTGGATAGAAAATCATATCATTTCTTTACACAACTTGAGATGAATCTCAAAATGTTTCCCAAATAAATCATAACATAATTATTTCTTTCTTCGTCTATAAAAATGTACTTGCGCCTGTCAAATTATTGTTGACAATCAGCAAATGTGCTGGCGATACAGGAAATATTGACACGACGGGTATGGGAAAAAAAGTACTCAGAAAAACCTCTTCCCTAACTTGTTCCAATTACTTAGTTTAATTCCAACTTAGTTTAGTTTAGTTCCAATTTGTTTAAGCAGGGAGATCTCTCATCCAACTTCTTTTTAGTCTCCTCCTCAAGTTTTGATGTATGTCAGCTGTGGTCATATTTCTTATTAGTCTGTTATTATGTCCGTTTAAATTAGTGTAAAATCCTTGATAAAGGATCGTTATATGTAGGTCAACTATCAAATTGTGGAGGTCAGTATGAAGAGTTTTGTTGGTCACGTACCAAGGTGCTTATGTTACGAGTTGCAATAATTTTGATTGGAAGGTTTGAAGTTTTGTGATGAGTATTTTCATATGGGTTTAAGTAAGTATGTACATGTGTCCAGTTTCTGTCTAAGTTTTAGTTTTGAAGATCTAGCAAAAAGAGAGTAATGTAGTTTGAGTCGATTGTTAAGTGCCTTACGTTTCACTTTAATATTCGGGCCCCATGTCATCCTTCTGTCGAAGGTGAGTCCGTGTCCGTTTGAGGAATTTCATTGTTGCCAATATGAACTGGAGGGTAGATGTTTTTTCGACGAGTAAATGTAATATGTTTGGATTAAGTCTAATTTTCAATAGTGTGAACCAATCTTGCAATTTAAGAAAGTGATGTTGTAGGATTGATTAGTGAGGCTTGTGTTGGGTCTTGATTGATTGTGAGAATTGTTGTATCGTCTGCATAAGTAGCTGTCAAGATCCCATCGTTGACAGGTATATCGTTGGTCTATACAATGTAAAGTAAAGGGGCTACTTTCGTTTTAAATAAATTTTGTCCAGTTTACTACGGAGCAATGTTTAATTACTTGAATCAAATATTTTTTTTTACTTATCGCTTCCTATTCAACAAAAAAAGTGACTCACTTAAAAAAAACACAAACCTTACATTTTTTACTTTACTGCTGATAATTGCGCAATTATTTATATGCACTTTTTTGTTTAAAATCATAAATTATTTGTGTTTTTATTATTACCCACCCTTTAACTGTACTATATTAACTCCACTTCTAGAAAAATTTCCTCGTTTAATAAGCTTTAAGTCTATATTAATAAAGTTGAGGTTTAATAGGAAAAATGTTGATATTCACCTCAAGTTGTGTAAAGGAATGATTTAATTTTCAACTGAGCCACGTAGATTTTCAAATTGAAATAGATTTTCAGCAAAAATTACTACAATTAACTGATGAAAAGCTTTTATTTCTTGTTTCTCCGTGATATGGGATGTAATGTAATAAACAGAATTGCTTAAAACACATTAAAACTCATAAAAATACAAACTTTAAAATAAAGTAATTAAATATTTTTCATGTAAGGTGGTTAGGAATTGTGTTTTTCTCTCAGGTTTCTGTCATAGGAATTAAAATGTATTTATAAGATATAAACTTAAGGTTTCTAGCCCTAATATTTAAGTTTTCATATAAATAATAGAAGCAATCAGTAGGTTTCCTATTTTAAACGTAAATTTTAGTAAGAAAAACTAGACAAACTTTACTTTCATTAAATATAAGTTTTGTCTATTTTACAATGGAAGAATTTTTAAATACTTAAATAAAATGATGGCAAATTCCATGTTTCTAATCCTGAGATTTACGTTTTTATGAAAATAATTGAAGCAATCAGTAGGTTTTTTTTAATTTTATTTTAAACGTAAATTTAAAGACTAGAAACATTATTAAATTTGTCACTTCTTAATCCTATTGATCAAATCCTATGACAGAGACCTGGGAGAAAAAATATTTAACAAATCATTACTATTATTTTTTTAATAAATAAAAAGTGTAATTAGGCAATTATATTTATTAAAATGAATTCTATATCATGAAAAAACAACATTAGGTGACTGGATAGAAGTTGACATAATTTCTTTACACAACTTGAGGTGAATCTCAAGAATTTGCCAAATAAATCTCAATTTAATTAATATGAAGTTTAAGCTTATTAAACGAAGAAGTTTTTTCTAAAAGTGGGTTATCTATAATACAGGTGGATAATAATAAAAAGTTACCCGCTTAAAAGTCCTCTTTAAACGGTTTTAACAATGACAAATTTTATTTTCATTCGAAGAAAATATTATATAGTTTATAGTGAAATAATTGTTAATTAGTTTAATTAAGCATTGCTTCAGGTATAGCTTCTAATTAATAAAAAACCATGACATACTTAAAGAAAAACTATACTGCTATCACTGCTATGAAAATTTTCTCAACTTACGGAACACCTTGTGTATATATGTATATATATATATATATATGTATATATATATATATATATATATATATATATATATATATATATAATATATATATATATATATATATTATATATATATATATATATATATATATATATAAAATATGTATATATATAAAATAAAATATTTGGCCAATTGTATTATTTCGTACACATTAATTAGTTCAGGATATTAATTTAATGAACCTCCCAATTAATTTGAAATCTCTTAACCTACCTCAACGACTTCTTGGAATTTTACAGAATAAAAAAAAATGAACAAGTGAGAAGGGCTTTGAGATATAAAAAGATGAGGATTTAGTAAAGGTTTAAGTTCATGGTTACCAGGCTTTTTGAAAAAACATCTTCCTGATTCTAGCCACTTACAACAGCGCCATCACTTGACAACAGGTTGAACCTGTGAATTCTTTTCAGTTCTTTCAACTTCCTATAGATGGCACCAAATCCTATATGGGGGAGTCAATTAATTTTTTTTGTAGCAAATTGTATTGCATTATATATTATATAATTGATAAATATATATATATTAATATTATAATTATATATTATATTATGATTTATTATAGAAGCTTTTATTTTTTTACTTAATTAAAAAATAAAGGTATATTAAATCAAATTTAAGAAGGAAAGAAAAAATAAGTTTTTTTATTAAAATAAACCGTTGAATATTTTTATTAAATTGTTGTATATATATAATTATTTATATAAATTACTTATATAATTATTTACATAAATACATATATATGATTATTGAAAATTAGTTAACCAAAAGCAAAGTCTTATTAATAAATATATATAAATATATAAATAAATAATATAATAATAAATTTATATATACATTTTTTTGTTGTATATATATATATATATATATATATATTTATTTATTAATAAGACTTTGCTTTAGGTTAACTAATTTTCAATAATCAACCTATGTAATCAAACAAGAAAAAATTTTAACCCGCCCCCTCAAAATTTGACCTTTCACGTCTCAAGATGCTTAGAATCCAAAAGTGGAATAAAAAAAAAAAAATTCGTCCCTCCACCGTCCGCTTTACGCCGTACGTCGTCCGCGGCTTTCCTCCGAGATTACCGGATCGATTTTTTTAAGATTTGGTACAATGTCGAAGAGCACCCGAGGATGATTATCGGAACTCGGAATTACTATCCAACCCCTGCCTTTAAGATGGCGGCCGAAAGACGTGAGTCACTGTAAACTATAACGCCAAAGCGGTTGTACCAATTTCGATGAAATTATTATCTCTTCTCTTTTGAAACCCTTCAAATTTTTTTATATAACATACTTCATCGAAAAGAAGTTTGACTAAAAGTTACGAGTGGCAGTAAAATTATATTTTGGAATAATTCAAAAAGTATACATTTTTTTGTGATTTTTATTTTTTTAAATTTATTTATTCAAAATATAACAATCTGTAACACAGACAATACTTATATTACCTATACATATATATTGTATTGAGGTATGATTTTTTATAATTAGGTTTTTCAAAGGTATTTAGGTTTAAAAGGGACAAAAGTCAATATTTCCTTTAACATACAGACCACCCCAAATTACGTTTGTAATGTATTGAATTAACTTATAGTTGTAACTGAAATTCAACAGTAAAATAAATATTTTTAAAATAGATACTTTTGTGGTTTTGCCGGCCATTTTGGATTTTAGTGACATACAAGAAAGTTTTCAAAAATTTCAGAGTCCTCCTAGGTTAACATTAATTAGTGTTGCCTAAGGTACAGTCATGCCAAATTTGGTGCTTTCAGTGCGTCATGTAACGGTAATCATTAGTTATTTGCTTGAAATGCAACCGGTATGGTGTGTTATTAAATACTGCCTCCCAATTATCAATATTTACAATAATGATTACTCGTACTTGTTTTCGTTTCGACAAATTCTTCTTTTCCTGACTACACCTGACTATAAACACATGCCATTTTTCATATAAAATATTCAGTTTAGATTTTTGACTTTTGTCCTGCTAGATTACCTAGGGAAATGGGCTGTGTATCAGGTGTCAATGGCTTCATCCAATTGTTTGGTTAGCTACAGAATCTCTGTCTCTCTCCAGGCCTACTGTCTTATTTCTCATAAGTAGAAACTTTTTTGGTATGCTTTTAAGAATCAAGGTTCTTTCAGACTCATAAGTATTTTATATATATATATCAAATACTGTTACTTATTAAATTGTTTGACCAGTTCATAACCTGCCGGGATGTGGTTTAATATAGTGTCTATTTGTTAATGTTTCTTAACAGGGTAATGGACTCTGAACTGTTTACTCATTTTGTTTCGATTATATTTTCTCATCCTAACTACACCAACCCATCAATTATTGCTTTTTGACTTAACCTAGATTGTCTAAGTGAGGAGCACTGCTTTTGACTCGAGATTGGTATGGGTCATCAAAAACATTTACCTCAGATTTAATACACTTATCCAACATGACATCAAAGATTTCTGAACTATTCTTCAGGATTAATTTAATTATAATTAAATGATTAGTAGAAGATTTGTACAATACTACATCCTCATTTATGCCATTATTTCATAACCTTTTTATCAAAAATCTGACGTTGATTTTTAAAATATAAATGTAGGATTCATATTTTTTTTTTACTGATTATCGGTCTATATCCAATAAATCTGGCTGCATTTGTGAAGCTTAGGATAAATTAAATAATTACAGGAAAGCATTGCGTAAGCAGAAATTTTTTCATTATACATTATACATTGTATATTAATGATTTGTCAAAACATTCTTTAATTTTAATGACGATCGTTCATGGGATTTATTTCAAGGCGAAAATCGTAAGAAGTGTTCCTAGTTATTAATACCATAGTACCATAGTATCATCACAGTGTTACAAATATATCAGATGTAACGCTTTTCTAAACGACAAGGATTCGAGATAACCATAATTTTTGGTTTGTCCGATACAGATTTGTATTTCGTAAGCTTTATTCTGTAACTTGTATTCAAGAAAGGTTCTTCTTTAGTATTGATAATCTCCTTACAGAAGATTATCGCAATAAGGAAATGCAATTTTCAAAGAACCAGTAACTCTATGCAGGCCATGGATGCGTGTCATATGAAACAATGAATCAGCCATTCGTTATTCAATGTGCAATAAATGTTGAGCGCACTGTGGGCGAAAATGTCATTTGATGATGTCGGACAAAGGCGACGATTTGACTTCGAGATGAAGGGAACGGAATGAGGTATCGTGGAGCGTGGCACATCGTCGCAGCAGGCACAGCCTTAATTTCTCTTCCATCGTTAAGAGACTCTTGTGCAAACGCGATCTAAAATGGAGGCGATAAGAAGGTCGTAGGAAAGGATATATGACAGGTTTTCCAACTGTCCGCATCTTCTAACCCTCCAAGAGATGAAGTCATGCGTCGTAAGCATGTGTCTTAAGGAATTCCCAAACGGATATGGGCAAATATTGTTTTAATGATTCGTAGAATCTCATCGTGTTAGCAATCACACATATGTCACTATCTTTGAATTAATAAAGAACTGAATTTCGCTATAATTCCTCAATCCGAGACAAATGGGGTTGTTGAAAAATGACCTTAAATTAGAATTCATACTTTATCAATAATTTATTACTTATATTGTTAGCTATAATTTCTTATTCAGCACTGATTTTCGATAAAAAAAATGGTACAAAATCTGTAATTGTAAACGTTTTATTATATAACGTTTACAATTACAGATTTTGCTTTATAAAAACCAGTTTGTCATCGATCTAATTTAAAAAGCTTAAAAATTGCATGGATGAACTAAAAAAAAATAATGGTGGGAATTATTATTATTGTGAAATTAACCAATATGATATTGAATATTCAAAATTAATTTTTTAATATGCTGGCATAGTTATAAGGAATGTTTTTGTTTTATTTATTATATGTACTTGAAAATATCTTAACCAAATACAATTAAGTTTTTCACAGTCAGATTAGTTTGTCGCGGAAAATGTGATAAGAATATGAAGTGGAAATTTAGCAGTGATTGAGTCGTAAAATCATAGGAAATGTTGAAATATATTATTACGTTTGAATATAAATGACAATTTAAATAAAAGTTACATTTAGGTCACATATAAAGTTATATATACCTATTATTAGACCCTAGCCTAGTCAACTTTTCTTAATCGATTTTCGTTTACACATTGTATTATTTTATGTGGCTCATTTAATGTTTTTTACTTCAAATTATTACCTACATAAATTATTGTATACATAAATTACCTCAATTATTTATTGGGTGGAGGGGCGGTTGTCCCCTCGCCCATCTGAAGTCTGCGCCTATGCTCAACGCCGGTAGCCAGTTGTTCTTTTGCAATGTTTTCAACAAAAGGATGCAAAATAACATTGATGACAGAATATGTCCATTTTCGTATGACCTTCAGACGAATTGACAGTCTTTCTTCGTACAAGTAAGAACGAATAAGGGAAATATTTTCTTAGGACTAGAAGAACACCTCAGATTATTATACAACACTCTTTTGCAAATAAATAGCAAGTGTTATTATTTTCTTTTTACAACCATTATGAGTATTTACTCCATCGTATCCTTGTCTTGTTTTTATCAAGACAACCATTTGTTCATTTTTTAATTTAAAATACTAACAGTGATAGAAATTATTTACTTCTTTATTTTTCCTATTAATTTCAAACTAAAGCTTTTTTAATAAAACAAAAAAAAAATAATATAACATTTTTTGTGTTTTATGAAGAAGATTTTACACGAAATGTAATTTTAATAATTATTCACAACGAGGTATCTTTTCTTTTTCTGGTTATTTATTTATTTACTTGATCAATGCAATTTAATAGAAATTGAACTATACAGAAAACAATATTATCACTAAATTCAATTATAAAAAATTACCTCAATATTGATAAAGGCTGTTCAACTGCATCCGAAATCATAAATATTCGAATATTTATTTGTAATCGTAAAATTCATGTTAGCAATTAAATGTTAAATGGCTAAGGCAGGGTTTTAGCCAACAGATATAATTCTTACTTCTCAGTGATAGCGACCAAGTGAAGGGAATAATGTGCTAAATACTTCCAAGAAATCTTAAATGCAGAAAAAAGTAACATGCACTCCAGCCAGATATATCAATCAGATAATGAGAATATTGATGAGAAGGTATCACCAGATAGGGAGGAAATTGCAGAAATTATTCTTTCTCTAAAAAACAATACGTCTCCAGGACATTCCATGAAATTCCGTCAGAATTATTAAAATTCGCTGGAGAAGACACCTGTAACGAGATTCATGATATGGGATTTATGGTCAAAAGAAAAAATGCCAGATAAATGATGGGGAAGCTATTATAGTCCCTATACATGAAAAGGGATATATACTCAAATTTGAGAACTACAGAGGAATAGCACTTCCACCCGCAGTTTATAAAATCCTGATAGTGGCAACATCTCGAAGGCTGGTGGAGAGGAGTAAAAGACTACCAAGGAGTAAAAGAGTATCAGAGTTGCTTACGTCCAGGACGATCGGATTCGGACCAACTTTCGCTATGAGAAAAAAGGGAAAACATACGAATATAATACAGATCTACATAATCTATTCATTGGTTTTCGGTAGGCGTATGATAGTGTAAACAGGAGTAAGCTGCTGGAAGATTTAGAATCACTGGGCATATCTAGTAAACTGATAAGATTGGCAAGGGCCATAGGAAGGACAAGTCATAAGATCAAAACAAGAGTGGGTGTATCGGATAGCTTTCAAGTTAATAGTGAATTAAAACGGGGGGAACCATTATTAGTGTTGCCTAAAATCGGTCTTAGTCTAGCACTTTGCAAGAACAAGACCGCCTGACCGTTGCAAGACCAAAACCAAAACTGAAAAAAAAAAACACGTTTTTGTGAATACAAATCAAGGAAAAATAGTTACTAATAATTGACAATTTTAGTTGCTATATGTAAAGAATTGGTGTAAATAATATACTTTTGCATTTAAATCTTCAAATTTTACATTCAGGTTTGGTTAGTTTCTTCTATCTGCAAAATGGTCTCACATTTGGACAACACTACCCATTATTGCCTGTATTATTTAATCTCGCTTTAAAGACGGCGATTCGGTAAATCAAGACTGACCCTGATGAAACCATCTATAATAGGCTCACCCAAAAGTTGGCATATGATGATAATGTTAGGACTAAAATAACACTAGCCGGCGCTGTAAAAAAGTTCATGTAGACAGCTCAAGAGTTAGGACTCATGATAAATACAGAAAAAACCCGGTATATGAAAACATTTCGACATACCAGGGGAAGAGGAGATACTTCTGAATCGGGAGAAGATATATTCCGTAACTGTGATAAATTTAAGTATCTGGGGAGAGTAGTGACGGTAAACAATAATTTGGAAGCTGGAATAAAAGGCAGAATAGTTACAGAAACTAGATGTTTCTATGCCCTTCAAAAGGCACTACGACACAAAATTCTGTCCAGGAAAGCTTGGAATAAGTAAAACGGTCACTAGACCGCTCTTTTTTAATGGCAGTGAGCCCTGCAGGTCTGGGAGAGAAAATTCTTCAGAAAGATTTATGAAACCGTCAGAGAGCAGCTTAGATGGAGAATCATAAGTAACATAGGTAAGTAACGGTATAACTAATGGAATTATATGATGAGTGTTATTAAGAGTGTTACAGCTTAGTGTTATTAAGAAGTGCAGATTCAAATGGCTGGGTCATGTTGAAAGAATGGATCTCAGAAGATTTTCAAAAATGATGCAGAATGGTACTCCAGAAGGAAAACGACGAAGAGGTAGACCCAGGCAACGATGGTTGGATTATCTGGAAGAAGACTTGAGGATGCTGGGGATCAGAAATTGGAAGAATCTTGCTGTGGATCCCGAATAGTGGAGAAAAGTGGTGCCATATGCCCAGGTCTTACCAGGAATGTAGCCCCCATTGAAGAAGAATGAAGAATAATAATCATAAAATTAAAAAAAATGTCTGAATGTTTCAAAAAGTATGCTTCTTGGCAAGTGTACGGTATATAAATAGTAAGTCATAGATGATTCATAAAGTGATTTTTTTTAGTAGTAAATGAAAAATAATTTTATGGGTGCAAGACTTTCTAACTTATTACTTTTTGTGTAGTTTTGGGTCTAGTGCTATATGATAATTATAATAATAATAACAGCTCTTTATGATCACCCTATAAACTTTAAAGGATTTTATGAAAATGTCATACATTTTTTTTCCCGCTGTTCCTATGAATATTGAAACTTATAACAGTAACGTGTGTGACTTCGTAAGTTTTGATTGTACTAAATATTATCTCGAAATTTCACACTGCTTGGTTAAAACTTGCATGTCTTTAACTTAATTTTAAATAAATTAAGATATTTTAGAGTGTTATACAAAATATTTTAGTTTAAATAGTGATTCATTCTTACTAAAATTGAAATAAGTATTTTTAATTTGCTTACTGTAATTTAAAAAAAAAAATAGCACAGATATTGGGTATAACTTTTGAAAGAATATTTTGAGTAAAATAATGATTTAAAAAAATAATATTATTAGATATTTTTATTATGTTTAAACTAGTAGTTTCAATTGATATAGATAATTAATAGCCCGAGGTCGAATTCATTCGAAAAAATGTTGAAAATTAAGATTTTTTCATGTACATCGATTTTATATACAAAATACTTACGAATATAGAGGTTTGTTACAAAATCAGTATATGTTTTTTTAATATGTGAATGGATTCTCAAATTTTTGTATCAGAGGAAAAGTAAAAAAATATCATTTTCAATATCAGGTCTAAGTTCGTTCTCGGTCTTCCAACTGAAGGCTCTCGCACACTTTACGCAATATGATTGAGCGATATGACGATGTCCGTTGCGATTTAGTCTAACAACTAATAAGTAGCACAATCTGGGATCATCCACAAACAAACCAATCGATTTAATTTCAATGCTATTTTATTAAAAAATATAAATGGACGGTATGTACAAAAGCGTACACCGATATCATGTACAAAAATATACAGAGGTTAGTGGAGACGTTGCCTTGGAAGCTGTCCTACTGGTATTGAGGTTGCTGAGGCTGGGGTGGGAGGGACCTGATGTAGTCGAGTGCCCTAGCGATCTCGACGGGTATTGGAGGAGGAGTTGGGATGGCGTCACCTTCCGCTCTGAAGCCACCCTCGTCAGCGATGAAGTTGATCCTCACGGGGGTACCGTCGGGGGCGGTGTAAGAGTAAGATCCGGTGATGACCTGCGCCTCATCTTGGGTACCAGGGTTCTTCAGTATACCTTGGGCCTGTCCTGAGATTCCGTTTTCAGTCTCGTACCTACAACAATATACAACTTTCTATCTTATCTGAAATAACAAAAGATATATATATATATATATATATATATATATATATATATATATATATATATATATATATATATATATATGTTTATTATTGTTATAATCAGAGGAATTAGTAATCACGCTAGAGGAGTACAAGAAAAATATGATAATAATAATAAAAAAAAAAAAACCTGTACCACTTGAACCCATGGTGGTTCTTGGTTTAGTACTTTGTAGAGAAGTACAGTTTAGAGGCCAACAAGGAGGTGATAAGGTTAATATTTGGATTAACCACTTACCCCAGGAGAGGCGCACCCGCTCCCAACGACCACGGTTGTTGTAACAGAATAAAAAATAACCTACCACAGCCGGTCTCGAATCCGGGATATTGAGGATAAGAACTCATGATCTTACCCACTGAGCTTCTACATTCCGAAATATGACAAAATCATGTTAAAATACAATTTAACCAATTAATGCAATCTTCTCTGTTTCTTTTATATTTATTTATTTAATAATATAACAATCTGTCAGATGAACATTGGTTATAGGGAGGTAAGATAACATTCACACAGTATGTAAAAAAAAAAAAATAATAAATAAACAGAAGGAAAATAACTAAATAATAATTAAAAATTATATACAATAAATAAAATTAAATAAATTATAAAAAAATACATACATACCTATATACACTATTTATTCTCTGCTTCATTGTTAAAAAAACAGATTTACAACGAAAAAAAAATATTCCATCGTAATACAAATAAATCATACAAAATTAAATGACCTACCATCAACATTAGCAGCTGATGGAAATTATCTTGTTGGATAAAATTTTAATCGGAGAATAAATAATCGTATGTTAATAGTTCTCATTACTTTTGTATACGAGAATTAATTAAGAAGAAATTTTTTCACTGCATACGTGCTATATTTAAAAACATTCAGTTATCTTAATTTTTACAAATAAATAAATAAATAATGACGATCAACGAGAATCCTTTGGTTTGATGTAAATACCATTGCCTAACTCAAATAACAAATAATTTTTATTAAAGATAAAAAATATTTTTTAAGTAATAGACTATCTACTTGAATATTTCTTTTGTGTTTAGTTTAGTTTTAGTAATTTAATATTTTACAAATTATCGGTAACAAACAAGATTTTTTAGTGATTTCGTTCAAGTGATATCGATTCTAAAAATAGTAGTAGTCATTCAGAGGTAAGATTTGTTAACTGCTATCGTTATTTAACAGATATTTAATCTAATGTATGAACACTCGTGTCTGTTTATTGTCCTTTTTTTTATATTTTACTAGCCTTGATGTATCTTAATATAATCGGCAAGAACCAGTAAAATTCCACAAACAATATAATTTAGAAAAAATCTATGAAATTGCAGTGTAATTTTCTATAAATTGTTGATGGATAACCTGTCATGGGAAAATAATCATTAGACCAATCACGGCGAACAAGTTATTCAAATCACCCACTTCACCATATGTACTTATATTTTGACGACACGATTTGTGTTAGCAATACCCGACGACTTAGGTCCTCCTCACGCCAAGGTCGGAGGAAGATTATAATTTCCTTAATCATCTAAAATTTAAATTCATTCTTGTTTATTCATGATGACCTTATCCCTGCAGAATCAAATAACTACAGCACAATATTTGAAGTTCATGTTTTATCAATAATACAAAAAAAAAAGGCATTGTTGTAAATGACTTTTAATTACAGCATACTATTAATTAATTGTTTATGTTTAGTGCCAAATAATGATTGAGGAAACTAATATAATTATCGTTGGTGTACTTCTAATGATGGAAGGACGAAAACAACTTCAAAGACACTTATTAGAAAAACATTGTGGTGGAATAGTTTTTAATTGTAACAAGTAAATGAAAATACGCCATTTCTTTAAGAACGTGAGGGACATAGTTAATAAATGTGTTAAAAAATTATTTGGAGAACAGACACGTTAGAATATAAATAAAAAAAGAATAACGCTAAAGGCATTCCTCGACGCTCGCATTAGATTCAAGGATATTACGCATCAGTCATGCCTGTCTCTTCTTCTCGCTTCTGCCGGTCTTGGAGACATACTAAACAGAAGAGGTATCCTTATGTTGTTGTTTTTTAATCGTTAACCGGATCTGACATTGTGATCAGCGATAGAACTGTAGTCTTTATTCGGAACCGTTTCAGAATATCAAAAGCTTCATTAACAACGATTTCAAACCTTTTTTATTTTTCTCTTCAAGACGTTCCTTAGGAATGAATGGAAACGTTAGAGATTAGACTTAAACACAAATGTGGATATGTTAGTTAAGCAACTTTTGATCACGTTACTACTTTATTCAGACAAATCCTACTAATATTTTAATATATTTATCGTATTTTAATATTGATAATATCATTAATGCCTTTATGTTCGTATATTCTTTGATTTTTACATTTATTCTTTTAAATGTTGACCGTAAAATTCCATTTATAGTCATGAATTTGATTTGATTATTGATTAAAGACAAGGTTATATTTCTAAAAACCTATCTTATCAAACCCGCTAGTTGATTACTCCCATTCCTTTTGCTCGTGAAAAATACACATAGTGCTAAACTATATTTTATTAAATGAATTTATTTGGAAAACAAGTTTCATCAGCTTCCTTAAAACTGGAAAAGTTTCCAATTAACATGGAGAAAATAACTTAGTGTTTTCGATAAATAGAATGCAAGGTATCAAGTGAGCATGTATGTTTTCTTGGGTATACCGTATCGTTGCTTTCCTTTGTGTCTATTGAAGACATGTCTTAGGTAGTATTGAGTTATTTATAATAAATAGGCAAATAAAGTAAACAATTAAGTTAACGCACGCATAGTTGAAGTTGCCATCGAATTGTGTTTCCTGGTCGTTCTTGAGGATCCTGGCGAAGGCCTCTCCAGAAGCCTGCCTTGGAGCAAGAGGTGCCACAGGGGCTGGCGCAGCCGGGGAGATGGGGGCAGGCTGGTTATACTGCCTCGCCCTCAGCTGTTGGTTCTGCGTGCTGTACTGGGGGGCTGACAGTGCGCTTCCCACCACTGCGAGAACGGCCAATGTCTAGTAAAATAAAGTTTAAGTTATTAAGTGGGCAGTTTTCAGAAAATACTCTCTAAACTCCTTATTTTTCCTAAAAATATAATAGAGTTTGTATGCATTATATATATGTATATTCATATTGCGTTATAATCGACTAAAAATTTGTTACAAAACTAACACGAATTAAAAACTGTCAGACACATTTTTAATCACCTTTCTGTACAGATTAATTTTAGTCCTTATAGAAATACATCCTGCTTATCACTACGTTAACCGAGTAAGCTACTCTTATTTTGTGCAGAGTTCAATGAAATGTGCATTAAAAAAACAAATTATTAGTTATATAAATGGTCTGTAACCAACACTAATATGTATACTTTAGCAATTCTCAATTTTATCTCCCATCTTCAAGTGCTACAAGAATAGGGTCAATGGCTGCCAATGGCCTCCTGAAGCAAACAAATCATTTTTTTTTTTTAATTTACATATGCCAAATACGGGAATGAAAAACGAAAAAAAAAAACACAAAAAAGAATATTATCAATGTAATCCAGCGAAAAAACTTATTGCGAAACATTTGAGTGATTTCTGACTTCTTCAATATGTGTAGGCATTTTTATCGTGTTTCGTTATTACTTAGGTTGATGACCGAACTGCTCGCAAGCCGATAAAATACCGAATGAAAGCACATTCTCTTCAAGGCCGGTCGGTGCTAAGCCTTCACTGAGACGTATTCGCAGCGATTTCTGCAAATCCCAATTATGGAACAACTTGAGTCAAATGATCGCATAACATTCCTTCAAGTTTTCACAAATCGTTCAGGCTGCACGCGACTTATGAACACATTCATTTGATAAAACCAAAATTTTTGGGACTGGCACTGAATCTGAGATAGGATTATTGTAAATTAAATTTGTTTACATAACATAAACGCCATTTCAAAACATCATATATGAAATTAAGTTAAAGATTAACGAGGTTCTTACCTCTTCTTTTAAAATTATTACTTATTAACAGTTTATTTAATGATAATAACAGTAATTCAATTAGTTTCTAATATCCGTAAAAGTACTTTAGTAAAACATCTTATAGAAGTTGAGAAATATGACTTTAAAAGTCCCATCCGCAATAGCTAGAAATAAATAAACCAGCTTATTAGGTGTAATTGGTTATCTTCATTCTTCCATATTTTTTGGAATTGGAAAATTACGTCTATTTAATGTATTTGTTCACGTCGATTACAGAGCTTAAATAATTTCAAGATGGGTAATTTGTGTCAGCTCGAGTATAACCAACGAAATTCCAAATGTCGACCCATATTCAAACAGACCATTTCTAATGCGAAACGCCTGGTTGAATCTTTACGCTTGTCGAAACCAATTATTACTTTTGTTAGTCAGTAGTCTGTTTATTATTAGTTTTGTTAGTCTGTATTTTACTTTATTGTATAAATGCTTGCAATGGAAGTGGTGAGTTCGAATGTTGAAGTTGACTAAAAAAATGATGCTCGATTGTTTTCGATTGTTGTAAAAAATGCTTAACTTATATCTATTAACGGTTTGAAAAAAAATATGGAGGATCTGAATTTGGTGCTATTTTCAAATGGATTTTTTTATCTCACTATTTTCACTCGATGACCTCTATTTATATCTTACTAATGTAAAGCGAAATGTCGATTTCCAGAAAGTGAATTTATTTATGATCCTCCGTAAATTAAATATTCTCTCGTTTTAAAATTATTCTAGAGCTGTAGATGTTGAGGCAAAAGATAACAGCGTGGAGAGATATAATGACCAAGACAATTAAAGGCGATCCGATCGACACACGGAAGCGTTGCCTGTAACGGTTGTATGCAACTGTTGGGCCGAATCACAATGCGTATTGTTCTCAATGCAGGTCCGTTCTTCACCTGCGGTCGGCAACTGCAGCAACACTGTCTGAGGCAACTTCGGAGCAGGTCATTCCGTTGAAGATACTACTTTAAATTTTAAACTTATGAAATAAGACATAACCGAACAAACTGAAGAGTAAAATTATTTTATTTTTGATTCGATTCGATACAAAAATTATCTGGCTAATTGTTAAATTAGGGAGTGGGGTTGCTCAGTCGTAAGGTACTGAGCTTCCAATGCTAAGGACCCTTAGCCCCAGGTTCTAATTCATGGCAGAAAAAATATTTATTCTGTTTCATTGGCCGTGAGGCGATCCTGAGTAGGTAGACCCTCCTGGGGCACACCCAGCCTCTATAGAGTGATTATTTATAGAGTCATTATAATTATTTTAATTAAGGGCGAAACCTGGTGGTTGAGTGGGATCTCCGTCAAATCACCTTGCACAATCATAGACCAAGAAACAGTGCTTTCCCTAAATAGTACTGAACCCAGGGACCCTTCATGAGCTGTAGTGATACAGTTTTTTTTTTTTTTTAATTGTTAAATTATTATCAAATTATTGGTATAAATATAGTTTAAACTATTTAGCAGTTAGATATAGATAGGTTATACAATTTTTTAATAAATACTACTTTTTTTTAAATTTTGTTTTAGAAATGTTTTAGAAGGTATATTTCCGTTCTATTAAATTAGACACTTTTTTAAACAATTTCCCCCAGTATGATAACTAATGAAGAATTGTTGTAGAATAAATGGGAAGATATAATTTAATATTAGCATTTTACAGATTTTAATTTTCGTTTACTTTAAACAACTAAACATTCGGTTCACTTGGCTCGTTTGAATTATTGAATAATACTGCTTGGGCTTACACCTACTTACAGAAGAGAAAATTCCAAACTGTGACTTGTTCATTCAGTTTCCAAATGAGACATGTCAATGAATAATTTCCTAAGGAATTTCGCCATGCCCTCTATTTTCGTGGATGATGAAATACAAAATATTAAAAAAAAAATTATAAATTTGGAACCAGAATGAATTTAAGTTTTGTTAATAAGAAGTCGATTGATTACGGAATCATAACTTTATGGACAAGCCGAGCCTTTTCAGATATTGCGATGTGAATTAAGAGGAATAAGAATGTGAGTGGAGGTATCCAATAAAAATTAATTTTAACATGGCAGGAATGATGTTTTGGATGGGAGATCTTCTATATTATCTAATTGCCTTAACAATCCGTTATTAAAGCCGGTGACAGACCATGACAGTTTTAGCCGTAACATCAACTGTCGCAGCTTTGGTGTAAACTGTTCAACATCATCACATTTACTGTCTTGACACTATTTATTTAACTTTTGAGTGACAGTTCATAGGATCTGTCAGGGAGAAACAGCTAATGTTACGTTAACTGAGAAGTGAAGACGAATACCAGTGAACTCTCACATCATATTGAACTTAATTAATAATAGATTTTCAGTGGAAAAATATTTTTCTCATATACCAGGGGTCCCCAAACTGCATTTGGTAATTCCAATACGATTTAATGAAAATAAAAAAAAACATTTTATTTTAAACCCGGAGCGTTTACATCCTGATTGTCTCTTCTGTCATGGAGATTAGTCGCCTAAAATTAAAGGAGGTCGTTATGTTACTGGCAAGGTGTGAATCCATTCTGACGCTCCTGACGTAATCCTACGTGACTTTCTAAATGGACCTTACAGCTATGCACATTTGGAGAAGATGTCCAACCTTAGCTATAAATCCTAGTCAAAATATTTGTTTATATTTATGTTAATTAGCTTATTAGAGTGTACCCTGTGTCGCGGTGAGGTGCCTGACGTCACCTTTTATATGAATGCATTAATTCAAATGTAGGTAAAGATCTAATGCCAAGTTGTAAAGGAGTTAAGAAAAACATTCTTAGGCTTTAGCAATGAGATGCTTCGAAAGTTGATTTTATTTCATCAACATTGATTTTTAAAATTACTATGCATGTTATTTCGAGCTTCAGTTCGGTCTAAATTTATATAAAATGTATATTAATAAATGTTCAGAATGAGATAAAGGTTTAATTTTACATATGTTATCTCTTTACATAAAAGGATATAGCAGAATTAAAATTTCAAAAGATTTTCACCAAACATTTTCATTAATTGAACTTGTAAAAGGAACAATTATCTTATTCTGAAAAATCATTTGGTAATTTACTTTTAGATAATTGAGTAGTAAAGCTATCAAAATATGATTTAAGCATAATTTTCAAATTTTATATCCTCTCTTCAGACCGTATATCGTCTTTCTTTCATCTATTTATTTTTTTTTAAAGAATTGTCATAATTTTTATTTTTATAAATCATCCCTTAGTTATATTGTGGATTCCTCAAGGGAAAGCCTAGGCAGAAAGAAGTCAAGAAACAAGGCTAGTCAGTGTCTGACTAGGCTCTCCCTTGAGGAATCCACAGTATAACTAAGGGATGATTTATAAAAATAAAAATTATTACAATTATTAAGAAAAAATAGATGATAGAAAGATGCGATAAGGTCTGAAGATGAGACAATAAAGTGATCCCGAAACGTCATAAAAATAAAGAAAATGTTTTTTTGGGAGAGTAAACTGTTACTTAATTTTATTCATATACCTTAGTCTACAAATTGTCCATTATCATTTTTCTTCTAATTCCATGTAATTAATTTCAGGAAGAATGGTGAGATTTTTTTATCTGGTTTTCACTTAACATTTTCATATAAGAATCAGACTATTTTAGATATATCAGAATTAATTATCGCAGGATAACATCACAATTTAAATATGGAGGATTTAATTATTATTTTTCAATCTTAACTTTGACGTTAGAATTTTATTATTTTTTATTTGAAATCGCGTATTGAACGAACATATATAATGAAACTTAGTATATAAACGTATTGAAATTTGAATTTATTTAAATTAGTCATACCACTCGCCAATACTTGATAGGTCTGAAAAATAAATGAATTAAAGCTTCTTTGCGACATCTCATAAAGTCTAGTCAATGGAACTCGGAACAAGCTTAGTGACTTGTTATCTCTTTGCCAATCAGTTATAGTGGATCTTGTTATTAAATTAAAACGATTCTAACAAATTTAAGC